TGTATAAAGCAATTCAATAATACGAAACATTCTGTAGATATGGGTAAAAACTATGCTTAACAATAGCTGATACTTTGAAATTTATCACAACAATTTTTTGGTGGTAGTTTGTGTTTAGGCGAGTGCTGATATAAAGCTGGAAGAACTCAACCTAATGACAACTAATGATGAGTGGATGCAAATGTGAAAAATGTCAAGAACCATTAAAAACAGATTCAGTAAGAGTTCAGCTCTTGGCTAGATCTACTCTTAAATTTAGACAGCATATTTCCGCTCATGCACACAAATGTTTTCAATTATAATAATTATTTTGCTTCAATGTAAGTTCTGTGTAGAGGTACTTCTCCAGAAGCTGGACAACATTTAATTCATGCTCTGTATAATCATCATAATGAAGCACTCGGATAAATTATGGGGTCACTAACTCCACAATTTGATTATGTGCTTATCTGGGTCATCCAACTGAAAATGAAGACACCTAACAATATAAATGAGGTTATGAAACCTCTTAATACATTTATGCCTATAATTTATACTTTCAGTGTCTTGTACTTTGTCCCTGTTATTTATTTTGTGAGTCAAAAGCCTTGAGGCAATTTCAGAGTAATTACGTGTGCCTAAAGACACAACTGAAGCAAATATTACTTTTAGGTCAATCTGATCCTGATCCAGAACGGACCTGCACATCCGCAATTGGGGTGTATTTGCTTGCATTCAACACACCTGTGCACACACACTGCGGTCTTATCTATATACTGTACTAACACACCGTGTTGAATGACACTAGTTTCCCACCACAATTGATTTTAAGGCTTGTTTGAGAATTGTTGGCAGTCATCAGCAGGATTGGATACAAACAGGTGTAATGATATGGCACTGCAAGTAAAGTTTGTGCGTCAAGACAGGCAGCCAAAGAAAACAACTTCTCATCTACTCTTCTCTTTTATCATCTTGGCCTGACATTTGCAATTGCAGTGAGCTGCTAAATGTCCACTGCTGTAATAAACATGTATGTTTATAGCCTCCAAAAGCAATGGCTAATTTGCCAAATCTGAGAACCATAAGACCCAATGTTTTGCTGCTTGTCAGAGAAAGAAACAACAAGACAGAGAAAGAAAAACATGGCTGACCTCAGCAACCCTTTCTAGCAGGGGCTCCAACCAGTGTTCATTACACTCGCAGTGGCTGTCAAGGAAGGTTAGTACACTGGCCGTGGCCGCATCCGCCCCTCTGACTCGGGATCGCATCAAGCCTGAAACACAACACACAACCACAGGATTGAGACTCAAGGCACTGATGCAATCTGAACTATGCAGAAGGTTATTCTCCCTGTGTTCTGACCTAATGATCTACACACAAGTGTGCAGGGAACCATAATGATAGTCCAACATACAGATGTCAAAAGTACTGGCATTTTGAGTACTTCACAAGTTTGGTAAATGAGATTTTGGAAAAAGTAATGATATGATGCCCATTTATTATGTCTGTTATTGGTGAGGTATTAGGTCAGTTCTGTCTGAAGGGAATGTATACAAGTAGACAAAAATCACCTATTGAACATGAGCACAAAGTTAAACCATAATAGGGAAAAAGGAGTACCTCTGACAATTTCATCATATCTAATCATCCATTTCATTTTACATTTAATTCTTTTTTAAAATTATTTCTGAATGTTTATTTGAATACTTTATAATGTTGTTAGACACCTGAAATAACCTTTCATTTGTACACTGCTAGTAATTTTTTTTAACTTATTTTATTACCAACAATTTATTATAATGACTTGAAATAAAACATTAAAAATAGCACACAAACACACCAAATAAAAATCAAGCAAAACAAAAAAAACCCCACCACCAAAATGCTGTCACCATACCAATGTATTTGGATCTCAGATACTGTATGACCACAAGGCACAAAATAAGCAAAGAAAAATCTTCCTATCTCTGAAATATCTAGTGTCTTATGTGGAGACCTAAGAATTGATTTTCAAGCACAGAGAAACATTAAATATTAATTAACCAGTTTGGTTCTTTTTAACAACAAAATCTATATGATCTTAATGAGCTGTTTTTTTTTTACCATTTTTTTCACATCTTGACACTCACAGTCAATCTAACATTAATTCACTACAAGCTTTACCAGGGACTGAAGTAACACACGTTCGTTGTTTCCTTTACTAACGAGTAATTTGTGTTTTTAAAAAAAGAAAACCTTTGAAAGGCTTTGGATACGAATAAACAAACTGCAGTTTTGGCTACAGAACAGCATTTTTTGCTTGACAGATCTATAAAACGCCTTCCAAAAATACACTCCAGCTCGTAACAGACCATTTGATTTCTCTTCTTTTATCGTCTCCATATTTGCACCTATGAAGTATGCAGTGCTTTTAATGACTTCATGCTGAGGCTGGTCACAATTAGTAGCAAAAGTAAAACTTCAGCTAGTTTTAATAGATGCCTAGATTTTAATGATCAAACAAGAGCTGCTAGTAAAGACCCACTGGTCCTTACATATTAACTTGGGTGTAGTTTTGATTAACAATGTTACTGTGATTCAGAGGGTTATAAATCACTTACCCTCTCGACGATCGTTCCGTAGGACTCTGACTTTCTCCATTTTTCCAAGTAAGGCACCATCTTCAGCTGAAAGCCCAGAGAAAACAATGCGTCAGCTCAAGTGTTCAGGGCAATACATCTCTTCTATTATATATGCCGTAGTTAATATACACAGGAGGAATGTGGTGTATATTACACAAAGATGTGCCAGTGGGCAAGTTGTGTCACTTCCTTAATCCAGAAAAAGTCTGTGCACAATTTTGTAAATGTCACCATATATTTAGAAAGGGCACATCATGAACAGCTTGCTACAAACTTTTTTTGGCAAAGAAAAATTCACTAGAAAATGATCAAGGATTTATTTTTTTTTGCCACAGTTACATCCTGAAGAAGCTACTTCATCCCAAATTTAAAAGAAATGAAAAGGTAGAAGCATAATCTCATATTTTCTTGAAACCTTAATGGATTTAATTTTTGACATATCTATGACCATAAGTTACAAAACACACTGAAATATAATCAGGTGCATTAGTTTTACCACCACCAAATGAAAATGCAGTTAACAGTTCTGAAAGAGCGTTATATCCAAAAAGAAAAGACCATTTTCAAATGGCAATATGAAAAAGCAGGATCACAATTCACACATGTAAAACCACAGAAGTCCAGTGCCTGTCAGGTTCCCTGCAGCAGAGCGTTATAAAGGAGGGCAGCATTGCCTTCAGGACAGGGTTCACACAGAGTTCAGACATCTGAAGAAGTCAAACCATAGGTTTGCCATCCAAAAAACAAGTGTGATGGGTTGAGGACTCGGGAGAGACTTTTTATACAATCATACAAATCTCAGTTGCACTGTTGCCATGTTCTGCTATTCAGATGCACTTTATGATTTATGGTGAGAAAGGATGAGTGTGCAATGATAAAATAAGAAACACTGACCTAATAACATGAGGAGCACGAAACAGTCTATATATGGTTGTGAGATGATTTATATAGTTCTGTACCATTTGGGTTGATTGGGGGTTAAAGTTCAAAACACTTACGGTTGTCACTGTAGTCATCCACCAATATGACCTCTTTGACCAGATGAGGAGGACTCTTCTTCAGCACACTGAAGACAGGGAAAGAGGAAGGGTTGAATGGATGTGAATGTTTAGAAGTGCAGAAAGAGCAAGAGATTTTAGCCTAGATCTTAGCTGATATGCCAAAGATAGAGGTACACTATCATTCAAAAGTTTAGGGTTAGTAAAATTGTTCTTATAAAGAAACTATTTTAATTTATTATTCAGCAAAGACTCATTCGAATAATCAAAAGTGACAGTAAAGCAATGTTTCTTGTAATAATATTTCACAATATTACTTTTTACTTTATTTTTGATCAAATAAATGCAGCCATGGTGAGCATAAGGTTTCTTCAGAAGCCTTCAAAAAAATCTTACCGATAATAAACTTCTGAACAGTAGTGTACTTCTGTACTAAAGTGTATATGTGACAAAATATTCTGTATTCACCACCGTAGACATTAGTAATACTGAATTACAAAAAAAGAAAAAACATGCACTTAATTTGTTGTGCTTTAATACTTACAGTATACTTTTGTTAAAAAAAACTTTAAAAACTTTAACCAATGTTTACTTGATTAAGAAATACTGCAAATTTTATATTCATATTTTAAATAGAAGAGTGTGCTCAATAAGGGTTTTGCTATATCAACGTTAGTAACAAAAATAGTGAAATTTCACTGGCATTGACATCAAAATTTTGGTATGGTGACAGTCATAATGCAGTGAACATTGTTATTCGACATGGGACGTCCCACCTGATCACAGTGCGCAACAGGGCTGAACGGGCCTCATTGTGGAAAGTGATAACCACACTGGACGCAGAAACATCTGTCCTCCACTGTTTGTGACGACAACTGAGAGAAAGAAAAAAGAAGATAAATTAAGAATTATTTAGAAAAATAAAACTCCTCTTGCATTTTTTAAATGCAAGAAGTTTTATACATTGCAAAAAAGTCACTCTTTAAATTTACATACACACACACAAAAACCGCTAACCCTACGGAGAGACACACCCTATATCATAGGGGTAAACTAGAGGGTTTGACGTGAGTTTATTCAACATGGGCCAGTAAGCAATAACCTAGTAACCACCTAGAACCAACCTCGCAGGACACTTAGCATCATGGCAGCAAGTTTGATGTGGACAAACCAGTATTTCTTCAGAAAATGTAAAATTCTAGTTTAAGTTAATGCAACTGAAAACATAAGAAGACTGGTGGTTTCTGTATTGAAGAGAAGTGAAAACCCACTGTCACACTGCTACACCTGCATGCAGTCTCACACCCTCAGAGGAGCTCAAAGCCCACATTCATTTAATGCTTCACTGAGGCTGAGATGGACAGGAGGTCATGCATGCTTAAACTCTCTGGACTTGCATCTCCAAACACACACACACACACACACACA